ATATTATTTTATAATAAACTTTGTTTCTCTCTCCACACAGAGATTGCCACACAGTTTCGCCTTGGACTGATAAAGACAAAAGCATTGTCCGCTCTTGAAGATCTAGTCACAAAGGTGGTGGATGTATATAAACTGATGGAAAAGTGGCTTGGGGAAAGGTACTTGTGTGAAATGGCCAGGTAAGGTACAGCATGGTTTTTTAAAAAAATATGTGCCTTGTTAATTCCTCAGTGGAAAAATTGTCAAGGGTAAATTTATATTACTGTAATTTACATCAACTGCATTTTGGCCATTCAGGAAATTACACAGTGTACAAAAATATCCAGCTTTTAAAATTATGTTAATGAGTTTGGTTTTTAACTGATCATTAAAACCTTGATTTACAGAGTAAAATTACAGGTTTTTCTCCAAAAATATTTTTTCATGTCTTTCTACTACTACCATTGATCGTTGCTGACAAGTAATTCTAATTCATAGCTGCCCTGTAGGAGAGAATAGAATTGTCCCGCAGGGTTTTCAAGGTGAGCTGGTGGCTTAGTGGTAAGGAATAGCACTACTAACCCAAAGGCACACAGTTCAAATCTACCACCTGCTCCATGGGAGAAAGATGGGCTGTCTTCCCCCATATGATTCACTGCCTCTGAAAATCCCCAGAAGGGTCAGCTGTGGGTCAGTTCTACTTGCTGCTACACAACAACCACAGTAATCTTTATAGAAGCTGACTGTCACATTTTTTTTCCTGTGGACAAGGTGGTGGGTTTGAACTGTCAGCTGAGCACTTAACCACTGTGCCATCAGGGCTACTTTCAGACGTCCTTTGTTAGGTGTCATCAAGTTGACTACAGCTCATTGCAACCCTATGAATAGCATCATCTTTATAATCTCTGCCTTGTTCTAACCCATTGCTACTGTCACTGTGTCAGTCCACTTCTTTGAGGGTCTTGCTCTCTTTCACACCCTTACCTCTAAGGAGTACCCCGGTTACACTTTTTCGAAGACACATTTGTTTGTTCTTTTTGGCAGTCCATGGGACATTCAGTACTCTTCACAAACACTACAACTCAAAGGCATCAGTTCTTCTTCATTCTTCCTTATTCACCATTGTTCAATTTTCACATGCATGTGAAGCAGTTGAAATACCATGGCTTGGATCAAAGGCCACGGACACATTGCTCTTTAGCACTTCCAAAAGATGCCTAATCATCAATTTACCCAATGCAGTATGTCTTCTAATATTTTTACTATTGTTTCCATGGGTAGTGATAGAGAATCTAAGCAAAATTAAATCCTTGATAACTTCAACCCTATTAATCCATTTGTGAGAGTTTTTGGATTTGGGTGTTAAGATGACATCCATAATAAAGGCTATAGCCTTTTACCTTCTTCCATAAAGATTTCAAGTCTTCTTCATGCTTGACAATCTCAATTTGTGTCATAAGAAAGGTTTTTGATCCATCTTCCTCCAATCCTGATGCCACATTCTTCATACAGCCCAATCTTTCAGATTATTTGCTTGGCAAACATATAAAATAGGTATGCAGAAAGCATACAAACCATACTTTTCCTGATTTTAAACTATTCAGTATTCACTTGTTCTGTTCATATAACTGCTTCCTGGTTTATGTAAGGGTTCTGCATGAGCACAAGTAAGTGTTTTAGAATTCTGATTCTTTTCAATGTTATCAGTAATTTATTGTGATCCACACTGTCAAATGCCTTATTGTTGTTATGTGCCATAGAGTGACTTGTGACTCATAGTGACCCTATGCACAATAGCTCTGAGTCTTACTCTATCCTGAGCTAACTCACTGTCTCTGACATACCTACCCTTTTTATCCCAATTATTGTGCAA